TTCCAACATCCATCTAAGTTATTGGTTCTACTTTGTCATAACCAATCAGTCATTACCTTTAGTTTAATAAGATAGGATCACAGATACGGGCAGATAATTGCACTTACATTTATTTGTCAAGCTTCCATACAATGATTTACAATTTGCATGGATATATGAGTCACTCACGTTCACGCTGTAATAAAATTAATCTTCTAAAAGAGAGAATTTTCAACTTGGGGACACTTGTGATTACTCTACTATGGGTATGACTTAACAGAGCCTTAATTCTTCAAGTGATACATTTACTGCCAGCCTGGATTGCTCGTTGCAACCAGGCTTCTGCACGAGAACTTCTTTCCACGGGTAATAACAACAAAAAGATACTCTTGGGTTACCACACATAGTCTTGCGTTACTGACAGTCACTGTAGACGGTTGTTGCGGCGAGGAGAACTGGTAAGCGTGACTTGATTAACCACTTAGGTGCAATAGGCCAGCCTGGATTGCTTTTGTCCCAACCAGGCTTCCACACGTGATATTTCCATGGGGAATACAAACCTAGGTTAACACACTTCCCCCACATCCTTGTGTAAGGTGAAGTGCAGAAGCGTTTACAGCGCCCAACAGGGAAGCATGCTAAGTTCATGCTTGCCTTATGTCTCATGAGCTAAGGGCGTAGAAGCCTGAAGAGTCAATGGTTTATGTCTAAGCAAGTTATTGAAAGCTCCAACAACTTGTCCCTGAATACGAATTCGCAACTTTCGATTTACAGCAGGTACCTACATTGCTGCTAGGTGAACAGGGACCAAGGGGACTAGGAAGAGTGTCCAAACAACTTCTGCCGGCCCGGGAATCGAACCCGTGACATCTTGCTTGCGAGGCAAGAGCGGTACTGCTCTACCACCAGCGCCCCGAACACACTTAATCTTGTGTCGATCACAGTCACTGTAGATGGGTGTCGCGCAGGAGAACCCTGTAAGCGTGACTTGATTAACCATTTACTGTAGGTTTGATAGGCCAGCCTGGATTGCTCTTGTCGCAACCAGGCATCCACACGTGATATTTCCAAGGGGATAACAACCTAGGTTAGCACACTTAGTCTTGTGTCACTGACGGTCCACAGGACGGGGTGGTGGTGGAGGACTCTTGTGTGGTGTCCCCTTCCCTTCAGGAGGGAGAGGATGGGGACGACGTCTTAACTAACCCATTGCCTAGGGGATACAGTACTACTCAAAATGTGGTTTTGGGGCGTGAGGCGATGAACAGTACAACACTGTCTCAATGGCCTCCCCCTATAGTCTGGCTAACATACCATTAATGGAAAAAATATGTCTTAGTCATGGCTTGCCGGGTGCCTTATCTCTAGTAAAACAAACTTTGGAGTTGGTTGCGTGGGTAAGCCTAACGCAACCCATGACAGTGTAAAGATCATTTCGGAATTTACTGACTCATTTATATCTGCATTTTTTCCTTCATATCTATTTTTATCATAATTTCATGGGCTGATAAAATTTTACCGCCATTCCGCAGGCCACACCTGACCGTCCCAAGGGCCACATTTGGTTCGCGGGTCATGAGTTTGACACCCCTGCCCTAGGTAGAGGATCTCGGTGTTGGGGTGTGTGGATATCAATGACTCATGGCAAGAAGTGAGATAGTCAAAGAGTTCCAAGTAGTTGTTAGAGTTGGGAGAACAGTATAGGAAACAAAGAAAAATAGTCAGATGACAGATGACATCATAAAGGGAAGATTCAAGATCCGTGAGTCGAGCTATGGGTATACGTGTGTTGCAGTAGGCGCATACCCCTCCCTTAGAACGGAAGGAGGTATAAAGGTCGTAGTTGGAGACTTGAAAAGGTTTGAGTGAAGCTGCTTTGGTCAGTTGAAGTTCAGAAAGTAGCAAGAGGTCGAGGGAAGAGGTTAATAGATAGTGCTCTACAGAAGGAAAATTGGATCTCAGGCCGTGAATGTTGGAAAATGAAGTGTGAAAAAAACCGATCCTCCAACAACCGCAGTGGCATCAGTTGAGGCCCCAGTAACTTGATGATGGATGATCAGGTTGGCCCTGCGGTCCACAACCTTCCCGACCAGTGGGACCCATCAGAGAAGGCCCCGCTTCAATATTAATATCAACTGACATAGGAGAATAAAATAGAATGAATAAAACAGATCAACAATGAGTATGGTTATATTTGTTGTGTTGTCAATAGTAAGAGAGACAATTGAGACCCTGCAGATTAGCAACCTGGGACTTAGCCCCAATTTTTGTCAAGCCATATGGCAGCAGGGTCTACCATTAGACAATACATTATGCTTCCAATATCTTCCCAGGCGGTAGTACCTCCCTGTTTGGTAGCTGCCTACTACCTATTACCTTGAATAAGCTCACACTCAGTGCCATCAGAACACGCTCTGGGAGATTGTTCTAAGAGTTCACAATTTTCAATCCGAAAAGGTTTGCCCTCACTGTTTTCTGGACTTGTGGCTTCTTCAACCTTGAGCTGTGACCCCTTGTGTGACAGGCGTCAGCCAGCTCCAGGTATGTACATTCGACCTAGTAGTGCCCTCTGAGATGTTTATACACTTCAGTTAGGTTGCCCCTTGCCCGTCTGGAGTATAAGCTAGGCAGTTGTAGGTGTTCTAATCTCTCTGGGTAGTTGACCCTCCTTTGGACATATTCAATCAATTGACAGTCTCTAGCTTATCTCAGGAACCAGACCGGGTGACAGTACTCTGGACAAGTGGTGCAACCCAGGTGCATCCTCTTGCACTTCATGTCATTGAATTTTAGCAGTCATTTGTTTGACCTTTCTTGATGCTCATAGAGATCTTTCTGTAGCTCTTCACAGTCTGTTTGGTTCTTAATTTCCCTAGATAACTTGGCATCGTCCACAGGCATTTGTATGGAGTAGTGTATAGCTTCTGTCATATTGTTTATGAAGCAATCAAACAACAATGAGCCCAATACACTGCTCTGTGGTACCCTACTTGTTACAGGTGCACATGCCAATTTTGTGCTATTAATCACCACACACTGCTTGTGGTCATGCAGAAAGTCTCCAATCCATGCTAGGACATTTCCCCAAATCCGATACCCTTCCAAATTAATTTTCAGCCTTTCAGAGGGTTAATATTTAGAAGTTGCCAAGACCTACATATATATTGAGTCATATATGGGAGAAAGAAAAAATCAAAATAATTTATTATATAACGTTTGTCAAAAATTTATATTTGTTGAGTACAGTGGTCCCTCGGTTAATAAGCACAGTTCGTTCCAGAAGGTTGCTCGTTAACCGAAAAATTCGTTAACGGAAACCATTGTTTCAATGGGTTTTTAGATAATTGGTTCCAGCTCACCGAAAATTACATACAAACTAAAAATAAATGCAGTTAAGTACACTTACTCTGAGGTGTGCATGTAGAAGGCTCCTGGTTGATGATGATGATGATGATGATGATGATGATGGGAATTAGAATGGGGGTGGAGGAGAAGGGAAAAGAGAAGGCATTGGGGTGGAAGAGAAGTCACCCCATGGCTCCATTTCACCCATAAAATTTTAGTTCACTTGGTGTAATTCAAGATCATTTTCTTTAAATCAACACTGTACTGTGCTGTATATATTATCAATATGTAAAATATATTTCAAAATGACCAATAATTTGACTGGAAACACAGAAAAAAAGCATTTATGTTGAAGAGTCTCAAACAAGATGTTCCTTCCTCTGAACTAGTAAACAAACTGACGCCAAGCTTGGTGTGTTGAGTGGCTGTTTGGCGCGCAAAAAACTAGTTTCCTGTACTTCAATTATGTTCAATAATTGTTAAAATGACTAAAAAATTTAGTATAAAACTTTTAAAATTATTGAATACAGGGTAGTACAATCTTCTTGATATTTACTAAAATGGTAAGGAATTTAAGCCCTAAAACCAATTACTGTATTGGCGGACTAATACTACAGTTGATAGGCAGCCAAATGCAGGCGAAATCATGTTGGGAAGAATTTGTAAGGAATTTGTTAACCGAGGGTTTGCTCGTTAACCGAAGTGAAGAATCTTATGGAAGGTAATTCGTTACCTGAAAGTTTGTTAACCGAGGCGCTCATTAACCGAGGGATCACTGTACAGTGTGCTGTGGATATATTATAATTTGATAATATTATGAATGGATGAGTTTGATGACCAATCTTTTTCCCTTCTTTATTTTTGGAAGTAATGATGTACAGTATAGTAAACCCTTGTAATTCACGGAGGTTAGGTTCCAACGAATGGTGCGAATTGGCAAAACCGTGAATAGTAACTTATACTACCTTTGTTCACTACTGTGTACCTATACTGTGTATAGGAAACTTAAGTCACCAATATTACTCTCCTTCATATGTGGAAGCTTGGAGCTTGATGAAGTGTACTGTACAGTACAGTAGGCTGAAATCTGGATGCTGAAGAATAGGGAGTCATCAGGATAACTGTTGGAAGAGGGTGATGCACTGGTGGTTGGTGGAGAGGCGGGTGGCGCATGGCGGGGAGGTGGGTGGTGGAGGGGCGGCAGCAGCTGACTGAGTAGGTGAGAGAGACGAATCAGCTGGTTGAGCGGCTTGTTCTTTCTTGAAAATTTTTTTTAATTGGTAGCTGTTTCCTCTTGGCTTTGAAGTTTGTGACACTGACACTAGGCAGTCTTTCAGGGCCATTTCACTAGAAACACTAAAGTTTTGAATACAGCACAAGAGGTGTTGCATCACAGGCAATGTTTGAGCGCAAACAAAGGGAGAGGAGACGCTGCGGGCGTTTGCGGGCGACTCGTTGCGCTGCGGGAGAGGCTTGCAAGCTAACCACCATCTTCTTGCTGTGAATAGTCAAAATCACTAATCGCAAACCTGTGAATAGCAAGCAGTTACTGTAGTTGCTTTAGAAAGTTTGGGGAATCATGCCATACAGTGTTGTAGAACTATTGGATCTTGTTAAATCATTTGTAATGGTAAATTGTGTTATATATTGTACTGAAATGTCTCTTTTTTTTTCAGGAGAATGAGTTATAAAGTTAGCTGGTAATTTATCCTGATGATTTTGGCTTCTTCCTTATCATTGAATAAGTTATCATGGACTCTCTCACATGTGGGTTGTGCAAACTTACTTTTCATGAACTGGAGGAATTTATTGAACACAAACGGAGTCATGGTAAGAAGTTTTTGTTATTATTTTAAATGTAATAAACATATTGTACTGTTATTTTTAGCTTCTAGAAGACATTCATAAATACAGTACTATAGAAATCCATATACAGTACAGTACTGTAGACTACATTGTACAGTACAAGTAGACTTATTTATTGAAGGGTCATTTTTCTGAAAAGCTGTCTATGAATAAAAAATCTGCCATACTAAAATAAACTCTTTGACGCTTAATAAAATGCAACTAAACATATTTTTAAGCACATTTCTTAAGGGAAACATTAATTTAGATTTTTTTTTTAATGATCATAATTGTACAGTACTGTACATACAATATTCAGTTTTATATGCACCTGTATCTGCTGAAGAAAAACTATGGAGGTCAGTGATCAAGGTGGTGATGTGGCATGATATTGGTGAATGTCGGGCTATTGGATAATCATTTAGACATCCTGTACCCATTAAAAATCCTTACATGTGCAGTGCTGTACATGTATACACTTTTTTTGAACATACACCACAGGCTCTTCAAAAATTAAGTTACACACACAGTTCGTGGCCCAAACATCTGGGGTTCATGGCCCATGGCCCAAACGTCCGAATGCCATCATGTTCAGTACACAACATAGAAACTTTATTATTTAAGTCCTTTAAGCAACATATATCTCACTTTGCATCATAAATTGTTCAATTAATAAAAGTGATATTTCCGTTAGCTGGAACATTTGGTGCAGAGCACTTCCAGGAATGAGAGATTTCTGGGTAATGAGACGATTCTCTCAAAGCCAGAAAAAATCCCTGATCCTTGGAATTTTCTGGGAAACAGAAAAATGTTCTTGGAAGTTCCAAAAATTTCCCATTACATCATTTCTTGAACCCAGAAAAGTATCCCCCATCCCCGGAATTTTCCGGGTACCAGAAAAATTTTCTCCGAATTCCAGGAAAATGTGCCTGATTTTCATCTCTCAAACCCAAAAAAAAATTCCCCCATCCCAGGAATTTTCAGAGTATCGGGAAAATTTTCTCAGAATTTTCTGGAAAATGTCCCCCTTGGAAAATTTTAATTCCAACTACAGTGGTCCCTCGGTTAATTAACGCCTCGGTTAACGAAATTTTGGTTAACGAACTGCCTCCCATAAGAATCTTAAATTCGGTTAACGAAAAAAAATTCGGTTAACGAACAAAAATTCGGTTAACGAATTTCTTACGAACCGACCTCAACATGTTTTCGCTTGCACTGGCCGGTCAACCAGCTTTAGTATTAGTCCGCCAATACATTAATCGGTTCTAGGGCTTAAATTCCTTACTATTTTAGTAAATATCAAGAAGTTTATACTATTCAATAATTTTAAAAGTTTAATATTCAATTTTTTAGTCATTTTAACAATTATTGAACATAATTGAAGGTAAAGTGACTAGTTTAATGTGTGGCATCCAGCCTCTTAACACAGCAAACAGGCGTTAGTCTCTCTCTGTTTTCACTGGAGGTAACATCTTGCTTGAGACTCTCTTCAACTAAACGCTTTTTTCTGTGTTTCCAAGCAAATTATTGGTCATTTTGAAATATATTTTACATATTGACAATATATAATGCAGTGCAGTGTTGATTTAAAGAAAATAATCTTGAAATACACCAAGAGAACTAAAATTTTATGGGTGAAATGGTGCCATGGGGTGACTTCTCTTCCACCCCAATGCCTTCTCTTCTTCCTTCTCCTCTACCCCCATTCTAATTCTCATCATCCAGGAGCCTTCTACATACACACCACAAAGTAAGTGAACTTTTCTACAATTTTTGTTGAATTTAGGCAATTTTCGGTGAGCTGGAACCAATTACCCAAAAACCCATTGAAACAATGGTTTCGGTTAACAAATTTTTCGGTTAACGAACAACCTGCTGGAACGGATTGTGTTCGTTAACCGAGGGACCACTGTATCAGAGAATTCCAGGTTTTAGGAGTTTCCGGCTAACTGAGATATTACTGTTTTATGTGGTTTGCTGATTCTATACCGGACAGCTGCCAACTGAACTATTTTTGTTCACATCAAGTTTGTATTACAATAAATATTTGGTGCCCACTTCCTGGTTGTTTTGATTGCTAATTAATCCCTTCACTACGATGTCTTCTTAACTATTTTATTCTGGCTACTGCTTGACGACTTTATTCAGCTGGGGAAGTTCCATCTCGTAGTCAAGGGGTTAAATAAAAACTTTGCTGCATCTACAAGATGTACTGTAGATTCAAACATATCCATAATCCATTTGGTCGTAAGAGCCCCATTTTGCAGAGGAACAGCTTACTTAGAACAGGAATTCATTCCCTCTCTCATTCTATTGTAGCTTTAGTATGTATTTTCATCTGACTAGCACTAGATGTGATCATCTGAGGAAACCCCATCAGTATTTTCAAAGCATTAAAGCATTATTCTGCATTTTAATTTCTCCCAACTGATATACTACTGTACACTTTCCTTCCTCACCCCTAGTACTCTGTCCCCCCCCCACCCCCTACAGAAAGACACCTATCCTGAGACACTCTTCCTCTCTCCCTCCTGCTCACTAGCAAATGCTTTGAATTCACACTTCAGAGTTCAGGGTTCACACCTCATGGAGAGAGAGGATTGGCAATGCCAAGTCATAAATGCAGGAGTGGAGGCAATTGTACATTTGAAATACATACAGTATTATGTTTTCTTGTCATAATAACTTGGAACATGAGATTATGGTCAACTTAATATTGTAATACTTAGTATAAAGAAATATTTACAATTATGTTTACATATATCGCGACACTTTTCTCGACATCAGCTTCAAAGCCGGAGGCTTGGCTTTGTCCCCGTGCCTGACCAGTATTACTGGAAGATCTCATTTTTGGTTGCATTATTCATGCAGACAGTGCAGTTGCTGCCAATATTGTACACTGATTCCAGTCATACAGAGAACAGTTGAAGTCTTCATCTTTTTCTTCTTTACTTATGATGGATTTTCTTGTTCAACCTTTTCAACCTCATAAATTATCAGCTAATACAGTTGCATCATAAATGTATACAGTATATTGTATTAAGTATTCCTAGATGGATAATTACAAAATTTTTTACACATGCTAAAACTTCCTTTTCAGGTCATCAGAATTTGCCAAGAAATGCATCATCTCAGCAGGGCACTGAGACAGAATTGGGGTGTGAGATTTCTTATAAAACACAGATGCCAATTTCCTGTCCATCGACTTCACAGTTTGGTGCAACAGCGACTACTTCAACATTGTCTGTGTCCACTCCTTCACTATCTTTGGCTCCAAACAGCTGTGACACCAGTTCTTCTGTATCACTCAGTAACCCCTCAGTAAACTCAACAGCTCCAGCTTTATTCAGCATGTATCTTGCCAGTTCTTCACAAATACGATCATCAGTCATTGATACCATGGAATCAAATTGTTCATTTGCAGAAGCTTTAGAAAGACCAAAGTCAGTTCCAGATACTGGTAGTACAAACACTAAAGTGCCAGACACTTTCAGATCAGACATAGGCTCCACAAGTTTTCTGGCTCCTTCAAAATATTGCCCCCTTGTTTCCACCCCAGGGACTAATGGCACAAAATTAATAGAATCAATATTTGACAGGAAAATGTCCATCCCTGCCAATGGTTCACTACAGTCATATAATTCTCCTGTTTCAACTGTATCCATTCTCTCTCCTTGTTCATTGTCACAAGTTTCTAGTAATGATGCAAACAAACAACTTGAACAAAGTAAGCCAAGCCTTAGTCTTGATGATGTGCAACAAAACATGTCTGAAGATGAAGTCAAGGATGTTATTTTGATTGAACTGTCAGAGACTCCAGAGAAAAGTTGTGAATTGGTTGCAAAAGTCAATGTGCCTCCTTGTGTTTTATCAGCACCTACAACTGGAAGATCTGCCATAGAAGAGGTTCTCATGGATCCTCAGTGTGAGAGGGAGAAAAAAACATTATCCAAGTTGCAATCAAATCAAAGGGAAGTAACTTGTATGATTAGTGAGTTAAATAGGCAAGATTATACTGCAACTCAAGACTGTCTTCCAAATTATTGCACAGATTCATCCATTGCAGTTCCATCAGACCTTTCAGTTATAATTGATGGAGTTAGAGAACAGCCTGTAGAAGCAAGTGTATCTGACCACTGTGTACGACAAAAAGTTGAAGATGGTGTTACAGGTGGGAAGATAGGAGCCAAAAGTTATAGTAGTGATAACTATGGTTGTGTTTATGCGACAGCAAATCCTATGTCGTGTACGAACACTACAGCCAATATGGACAATTTAATATATGAAAATTCTGATCATTGTACTTCACTAGGGAACATTGTTACTACTAATGTGAATATTACCAATGACTTCAGTGCTGAAAAAGTCTATTTTAGCCAAGGCAGCAGTATTATTACCACTACTACGTGTATGTATATTAATAGTGATTCAAAATTTGAAAATAAACCTGCTGAGAGCAATTATGATAAATCAGTGTCTGACATAAGCAGGATAGTTTCGTTAGAAAATGAAGCAAGTGTTGTGTCCCTCAGAGAGGTAATATCAGGATCAAGTGATTGCTATGGTACAGGAGCTACAACCTCTAGTAATAACACTATTGCAAGACTTAGTGATGAATTCTCTTTAAGAACTAATGATGATACTGCATCAGGTATTTCTGCTATGACTCCTGCTGCAACATCTTGTGAAAATTTTAATGCAGGGAACGGTAGTGTGACATCAGAAACTAATAATAAGATTGATACAGAGTTTGGTGGAAGGACAGCTGTGAAAATTGTGCCTCAGATTGTCAGTGAAGCAAACCATGAAACTGGCACCCTCTGTAACATAGGGAATAGTGAAGTGGTTGGTAAAAGTATTAATTTAGCAGGAAATGATGGGAATACAACTAAAACTAGTGATATTGTAGCATCAGAATCTAGTAATAGAAATAGTGGAAATTCGGCCACCTGGACTGACCCAAGAAACCAGACTGAGGCTGCTGTTGTAGTAAGTGATGAGAGTGGCTGTACAAGTCATGCTGAAGACTCTTCCCCAGAAGTTGGTGTTCATACAGTTCCACAATCTTGTGGTGAAACTACTATTTTAAATGGAGAAGAAATTAATTTTGTGGATAGTAGTGAACTTGGACCTGGAAGTACTGATGTGGCAGATTTAGCTTATGCTTCTACTCCTGGTCTCTACACATTGCTGCTAAATGCTGATAATACATTTACCTTAGTTGCAGGAGGTAAGTAAATTTCTTAATAATTCATATTGACGTTTACCCAAAATAATATAGAATAATTCATTATGTTTTGCATTTATATTATAGTAGGACAGCTACATTTTCTGCCTGATATTGTCTGTTAAGAATTGATTTATTAAAATTTTATGGCCTACAGGTCATTTGATCAGTAAGACTAACTCACCATATAGTCCCTGGCAGAATGTGATTTTCCCAGGGACTACAGTATATGCTTATGGGATCAGCATAAATGGGTACAGAAATAGGTACTCGCCCTATTGAACTAGGATTTATAAAGCAAGCTCCAACCCAGTTAGAATGTTGCTTTAAAAGTTTACATTAGTGTAACTGCACTAATGGTCCCTAGGACGTTAATTTCATTTCACTTCTTTCAAAATGGTTATGAGGCATAATTACTGAGTCTTCTGTCACCCATTCTGATCCTGAGCTGAAATTGGGTTAGGAAACATAACGATGTGATATATTGCACCTGTTATTTAACCCTTTAAGTCCTACCCACATACCTCGTACACTTGGGAACCAGAGTCCTATGTATGTATGATATACGGATTGATGTTTCCCGCCACATTTCAAATATCCTGAAGGGGCCATAAGCCATCTAATGATGCCGTCTGTCACCACCAGTAATAATTCACCCCCAAAAATTTCACAGCTACTCAGTTACCCTACAAACACCATAGTGGAGGGATGTTTATCTTGCAGCTTGGAGAGTACAGTACAGTAATACCCTTGTATCTAGCAGACATAAATGTAAATGCACAGCAATATGGGAAGGAAAGATATAGAAGAATATGATGATGCATTTTAGTTTGAGTAGCTATACTGTACAGTATAGTCTGCATTTACGCGGTCAATTGAACCTGTGGAGGTCCGCGTAAAACGAGAAATGCGAAAATGAAATAACAGAACATATGGGATTAATTGAAATAGAGACTGGGCCGACCCACAAACTCCACTTTTCCGACACAATACCTACGTTGTAAAAATAACATCTTAATTTTATGATGGTATGCACACAATTAATAATTAAGAGAAATATCAATATTAGGTTTTTTAACACTTACGTTAGTAGAAAAGCTGGGTCGGCACACGTGGATGGCGGCTGGTTCCAAGGCAGAGGGCAGATTAGTTGCCCTCTGGTGAATCACTTTCACTTTCACTACTCGCAGAGGTTTGCAGGGCCTCCCAGACAAACCCCTCAAAGTCCATATCCTCACTGTCAATATCACTATCACTGACTTGGGCTGGCTGTGGTTGTGGTGGGTTGCGGGCGAGGAAGTCCTCAATACTACGTTGACGACTAGCAATGATGTTGTCGAGATATATCTGGATATACCGCTCCATAACTTTCGTCAGATGGTTATTAGACGCTTCATAACGATGCTTGTCTGGGTCGTTGTCAAGGATGAGCTTAAGTTTCTCCCCCAACTCCATGATTTCCTTCACATTATCATGGCTTGGTCCAGGTAATTCAATGTTTTTCTCTGGTGGTGGGGGTCCCGCGGCAGCCATTGTGAGTTGTGAGGGGAATAGCGGGCACAAGAAAGAACTGTATAGGCGGACTGAGAACAATGAGACAGGCCCTGCTAGGTCAGCGACTTCTACCCTAATATTGTAACTTTTTACCTACAGTTATTGTTGTAAATCATGGACAGGGAGGATACATAAATTGTAATATCAAGTGTATTGTTTACTCATGGCCACCCCAAGTCAGACAACGCGTCACACAAAGTTACACTGTGTGTGTGTGTGTGTGTGTGTGTGTGTGCGCACGCGTATGTGTGTGTGCGCGTGTGTGTGTGCGCGTGCGTGCGTGTGTGCGTGACGCATTAAGCTTCATCCTTAGTAGGTAAGATGTTTCATAAAGAGTTTCTCCCATTCGTCATTGTGAGCATCGTCCCAGAGCACATTGTTTCCATCAAAACCATGGTTCATCCTTATTTCCCTTCTTCCGTGTAACTATATCCATATGGCTAAGTGCTTGCTTTTCCTTTCTTTATTTACCAAAATAATGTGGATCAGTTACTCGTTATTTAACACATACATGCACTAAGAGCATCAAGATTGTTTTGTAGGCATGACTATTGGTTAATTGAAACCCCAAAAGTGTGGTTTTATGTCACTTCACATAAATATGCTTACAAAATCTATGCATTAATATGCAGCACTCTTGGGAATCTGTCCAGACATTAAATATATGTTATATACTGCAATAATCACATAGATATGTTTACAATATTTATGCATCATAAATGTGAAAAATATTTTTGGGTTTTCAATTAACCAATAGTCATGCCTACAAAACAATCTTGATGCTCTTAGTGCATGTATGTGTTAAATAACGAGTAACTGATCCACATTATTTTGGTAAATAAAGAAAGGAAAAGCAAGCACTTAGCCATATGGATATAGTTACACGGAAGAAGGGAAATAAGGATGAACCATGGTTTTGATGGAAACAATGTGCTCTGGGACGATGCTCACAATGACGAATGGGAGAAACTCTTTATGAAACATCTTACCTACTAAGGATGAAGCTTAATGCGTCACGCACACACACACACACACACACACACACAGTGCAACTTTGTGTGACGCGTTGTCTGACTTGGGGTGGCCATGAGCGAACAATACACTTGATATTACAATTTATGTATCCTTCCTGTCCATGATTTACAACAATAACTGTAGGTGAAAAGTTACAATATTATACTAATAACACTGTCATGTATTGATACTATGACTAGTTACTAAGATACAGAGCACGATGAACATAACATGATAATGATAGTGAAGCCTGGAAGGGTTCATATCATAACTTGTGTGTTCGTGCGTATGTTGCCCCGCGAGAGTTACCGTGGGCCTCCATGTGCCCAGGTGAGATGGTCAGAGTATTACACTATAAGTGTGTCAAATGAGGAGTGACTGATCCACATGTAATTTAAGGTTTTTGAAATATGTAGTTAAATTAAACACAATATTTCATATAGTTACGCGAATGATGGGGTGTGGTGGAAGCATCGTGGTCTGGCACACACACAAGTGCTGTAAACGTTGTGTGGACTCACTGGGTGGTTTGGAAGTGTTTATTTCCATTCATACTTTCATAACTACAACCTATGGTAATTTTTCTTCGTGGTCATATATAATGAAGATAATGCAGAGTATAAAATGCCATATACAATATTTATACATAATATCATCTATACAGCCGTACTATGACTGTGTGTGTTCGTGCGTGTGTTGCCTCATGATAGTTAGAGTTGGCCCCCATCCAGAAAGGACACTGTACTAACCTCCAGCACCGACCCAGGTGGGCTAGAGAATATGGTTTCCGAGTGTACCTCTCAAGTATTTGATTAAGCAGCAAAAATCCCAGCTAAAACTGAATTTCAGAATGTCAGTTTGAGCTGGAAATCAAAGATGGTTGACAGTAGCCTTAAGAGCAACACCACATGTAGTCTCCTTCATATGAGGCTGATGGTATGATGGGGATGGAATGGTGATTGGTGTTCCCTAATGGGTTAACAGATTAACACTGGCTTGCATTATAAAGGACAGTGTAGAGACCTTGATCTCCCAGTAAACAGTGTGTATCATGAGAACCTCTGGGCTGTGGGCTTCACTCCAAAATATGATTTCAGGATTCAATCCTTCATTTTTCTCATTTGTTTTAAAAAACATTTGATTATTTTTCAGGATACCAGGGAACATCTGCTTCTCAGGGGAGTCAGGTGTTTGTCTGTCGTCAGTGCAACAAATTTACATTGTCACAGGTTGAAATTTTGAATCACATCTCTATGTGTCACCCTGAGGACCTAGATAATGTTAATCAGAGTGTTTGGAAGTTTTGTGCACTCCCATCTTCGTACAGTGAAAACAGTGATATCTTAAATGATGCAGACCCTATATTTCGCCATGGAATTACCCTTAACACAGAAATGACTTCCAGAGGATCTGGTAATTGTCTGGCAGTTGAGGGGAATGGTAGTTTGCAAATGAGTCCTGAGGACAGCTCTGCCAGGTTAACCACCAACAAAAGAACAGTAAAGAGAAAATTGGGTAGACCAAGAAAAGAAGACATGATTTCAAACCCTGAAAAAAATATGGAGCTGACAAAAGAAAAGAATTTTAAGTTTGAAAACAATAAATTTATGTGCATTGATTGTAATAAAACCTTCATAAAACAGCGACAGTTTGACAAACATAAATGTTGCATGTGGCAGTTCAGTCTTGAACAGTTAAGTCATACAGATATGGAGAGTTTTGCAATCCCTCTTCTATCACAAGGTAAAGTCCAAGAAGCTTTTGCAAGTGGAGATAGTCACAAAGACACTAATTTTAAACTGCATCAAGATATTGTACCTGAAGAAGACTTGGGAGAGGAGTGGAAAGGAAGTAAATATTATAAAGCAAAAACTAAACCTAAGCCTAGTGGCGGTGAGAGGAGGAAGCGAGGGAGGCCACCAAAAGTTGACTCTCTGGGTTATGGCACAAGGTGAGTTTGTTATGTATCTCTGTTACATGTACAATATTGAACAGCAGTTTTCATCAGGTGATTGAGTTCTGTACTGTACTTTGATGTACTGTACTGGTATACCAAACAAAGAATGTAACAAGTTCAGGAGTATGAAGGTTCAAATATAAGTGTAAAATATTTACCTTGTAAGTTGAGTGGTATGTTTCCTGAGTCATATTTGGAAAATTTTCTGCTTTAACTTCACATATTTTCATTCAATCACAGCTCAATCAATATCCAGTGGTTCAGCACTTGCCTCCTGTGCTGGGGGACAGTGGTTTGATTCCTGGACGCTCCCAGTTTATCTAACTGTAAATGGGTACCTAAGTTTACAACTTGGGAAGTGAATGCGGTTGAGTGCAGTACCGGCCATGCTGCCTCCTAGTGTATCGCAGGCTTATTATACAGTGTGCTGTATCAACACTGTCCCAAATGGGCAGTCATGCCTATGGGACCCACGTTCGCTTTTCATCTAGGTTTTAAGATTGAGTATGGGGACTGAATAAGTTGGAAATATGAACTTAGGGGAATGAGTTTTTAAAACTAATTGGCATAGAAAAGGGTACATGAACCAATTAATAAAAGATAAATGCATATATGGTACAGTACTTTTAAAAATCATATTTGTTACTGTATATTGGTATTTATATATATGATAAGTGATAAATTGTGATATTTCATAACTTGGCACTACATAGTTCAGAGCAACCTATATACAGCAAACAGTAGTACAGTTGTACTGTGCTGTACTATATGCAATGAGGCTTTTGGGGGATTCCTCACTAAACTCCTTTGGCTGTGGTGACTGGTAATCCTTGGCACTTAAATGTAGAATACAAAAAGTAATCCACAACATTAATTGTAAATACAACTTGAATTACTGTACTTGTACTGTAATCCTAGACCTAACTAATGATTTATAACAGCCCAGAGACTTCTAATGTCTTAAGATAGTTCATGGTCTACTCATAAACAAACACAGAGAACCTCTATAGGTCTCACACTACTGTAGCATAGGGGTCGAACAGTACTGTATAGTACAGTACTGTATATGCATAATATTTTTGACAGGTTACAAATCATGCATTTTTATGGGTCCTTTACGGTGAACAATTACCGCCCATACAGCTCTTTTATCCTGGGCTTGCCTACTGTACCCATTATTCACTATACCTGTATACTGTACTGTATGCCGATTTAATTCTATAAATACCTGATACAAATGAAGATTTACAGATAATTTTCTTTTCTTTTGCGTCTATTAACATCGCTGGTGACATTGTTGCCATGTTAGGGTCGTCAGTGTAACTACATTCCCTTAGACCTCTCGCTTCTAGGCTGAGCTGTGAGCTGTTATGGTAATTTTTCAATTCTTAATTTTGGGTAGACAGACATAACTTTCTTCACTTTTTTTTTGCTCAGTTACATACACACACAATCCTACATACAGAATGTGAAAAAAAATTCATGAGATGAAAAACATAAAGGAAATAAACATTTTGTGTGTGAGTTAGCATGCTGAGGGAGCCCCATTGCTGTGGTGAAGGCAGAAGCAGCATCCCAGCTGGGCTGCGTTGCTATGTGAGCATCGGCCAGTGTTCCGAAGGCTGTGTACACAAACTTGTATAATTTTGGGTAGGGTAATATATTGCCCATCTGCGGTTAGGTAAATTCTATGGTACAGCTCTGGTCAAGTCCCGAGGGGGCCAGATTGGAGAGGTTAAACCTGTATTGTATAGATTAATTGTTGTTAACCAGTTCTTGTTCTTCTACTTTCTGAAATACTGTATATTAAATTGCCTATTCTTGTAGACTAATATTTAACTATTACCTCTATTTTTTAATACATTTTACTTTGTTGTATTTTAGACTTGAGAAAAACACATTTGTGACGTGTTTACATTCTTTTGGTATGGATTAATACAGTATGATGCCATTAATATGTATGTATTTATAGCAATAGGCTGATCTACTAAGGAAAGATACATGTGGTACAATAGAATATCACTTATGTACAGTACTGGTTTGTGTTTAATGGGAAAGGTTAGATATAAAGGAAAGATGATTGAGGAATTTAAAAACTTTGGGTTTTAGACACCTCACTCATAATGACAACCAAGTCACAGGTTGAGATACTATACAGGGATACTGTTGCCTTGTGGAAATCACGGTACTGAACCAGTACTGGAGGGGCATGTTAGGGATGTGGGTCACATCCCTGTCAAATCCACGCCAAGAGAAGATGAAGGATACTTTAGCCATAAGGAGTCTTTAACCCTCAAAGATATATAGGATTCAGACAAGAGCAGAAGTGAATGTAAAAGTTAAATGTCTTTGAAATTCATGGAATGAGTTTGTTAGGTTTGAAATACAAATGTGAAATGAAGTGAATAACTTAAGTCTGGTATGTTTAAAGTTGTTGATAGCTGAGCAGGACAAAGTACTGTACTAATCTTTTCGTGAAAGATGTTGTTAAGTATAGCAAGAAAATGGTGTTATAAGTGTTTAATGTCATGAGTATTAATTGTGACTAACAAGCTGCAGTATACAGTACAGTGAGTTCTGCTATAACGCGTGTTTTGACAACGCGAATTGGCTCTAACGCGATTTTTGAATAGAGGAACAATATTTGTGTAACGCGAACGCTTGTTTGCTGTAACGCCATTTTTGCTTACTATTTCTCCAATTTTGTGGTATTAACTGTGAATATGGTAAAGAAGAATATCTCCAAGAAGCGTTCTGGTGATCGCATTCCCGGTGATGATCGTAATAGAAAGGCTATAACCCTTGAAGAGAAGCTCGATGTTATCAACCTCAAAATCACCCTTCTCCCCCATCAAGTTATATTCATATTTTTTCAAGGTAAAGTGTTACATTTACTGTATGATTTCATTATTAGATATGAATGTATCATTTATTTCGACTGTGCTAACCTTTGTGTTAGGCTAACTTCGAAATTTTTTTTCGATTTCGAGTAGTAATCTGCACCTAACCCTATTTTCTCCATAAGCCCTGTTATTTCTATTACGCGAATTTCTATAACACAATGTTTTACAAGAACACAACTATCATGTTATAGCAGAACTGACTGTATAGGTTAAGGATACAGTATGTGCCATGAATAAAAGATGGATTATGTAGCAGGAGAAAATTATTAAGTAGATGAATTCAAGAGAGAAACTGAAGGGGTATTTAAGGGTAAGGATACAAGAGGTAAATTCTCTGCAGTATGAGATGTAAATGGTTGGCTGTTGGCAAGTTGAATAGGCAATAAATGACTACAGAGTCCTTGGAGACGGTAATTTTCCACCACTCGGAAAGTTTTCATCGTGCTCACTGTGAAATCTTGGAAATACATTCTGATTGTTGTAATATGTCTCAAGAAGTATAATATTCAGTTTTATTTATATCACTCATTGCTTGTAACTGTGAAAGACCTTTCTTGATATTGTACCTTTTTTGCTTACACTACAGGTCAAAAGAAGATCATTCAGAACAAGTTCCACAACCAGAAGGCCAAGCTGCTGATGATAAGGAGTGCAGATATAAAGGAGAAGTCAAACCTTTGCAAGGTCCTAAGTCAATCCCAAATACAGACACTACTCCTTCTTTATTGTCAGGTGTAAATGCAGACCTCACAGTGCTACCAAGAACAAGTTCTGAAACTCCCTACCTGCATGCAATACCAACATTGCCCCTGTTCTCTAATCCAAGACAACAGGAGCGACTTCATAAGTGGATTGCCCAGATTGACTTAAGTTTTGTGGATAGTATTATTGACAAAGTTTGTCATGATAAAGGGGCACCAAATAAACGAGGAATGGCCATGTATGTATGTCGAGAATGTAAGGTTCTGTTTAGGACATTGTTGTTGTGCCGAAGGCATTGTGCAAAACATATGTCAAAAAAAGCTTTCACTTGTCCCGATTGTGATTTTGCAACCACGAATGTTAGTGCACTTTACTCTCACTATCGTAATCACACACAAAACCTTTATGCTTGTGATAAGTGTGATTTCAGAGCTCGAATTAAAGCCCATTATAGAGATCACTTGGAGACGCACAATCCAAGTAGACATATTTGTCAGTTATGCCAAAAGCCTTACAGTACCTCAAATTCTCTTAAAAGTCATATATATCTCAGCCATCGGAATGAAGAGGGAATGAACTACAAAAGGTGTTTACGAAAAAAAAAACAGGAACAAAATAAGCAAGGTCTTATCTATCAGTGCCCTGTATGCAGTAAATTATTCTATGAGAAGCTGTTGGCCAATAAACACATAGCTACTCACAGTTCTAATGTTTCTAAGGCAGTTGTCAAGTGTGAAGTTTGTGATACTCAGCCCTTACATCATGGAACATTAAGAAGACATTTGCTCAAGCACAAAGTCATATACATATGTTGCATTTGCTATAAACCACAGCTCACTGTCAGTTGTCTCCGCAGCCATCTAAAGGAAGGGCTTTGTAACTCGCATCAAGGGGATACATTTAAGTTGTCTCTCCTGTGCTCATATACCTCACCAGAAACATTTCCAAGTCTCATCTCAAATAAAAGACTTGGACTAGGACCTCTTCTCCAAGATCTAACAAAACACTTAACTGATCACCAAATGCCAGACACCAAGTTGAGCAGCAACCTCATCAGACAAATCCAAGAGGCTGGTTATAAGCAGATCTATGTGCTTCTGCAAGATGAACATAAAGGAGCATTAAGTAAAATTTCAAATTCACAGTCACCTAGCAAGGTTATGAAAATTGTCATAAATACAAGACTTACTACAGTGAATGAGCAGGTAAGCATTTGCTTATGTTACCTTACTGTACATTTAGAAATATTTTTTAAAATTTGCAATTTGGTTTAATGAATAAAATTTTTACAAAAGATATATACTGTATAGTAAATAAGTTTTCAGCAATATAACTAGTAGAGTTGTCTCATTCTTATAAGACTATGACTAACTGGTAGACCTGTGAGAAATAAATAATACTGTAGTTACACAAGGATTATCTTTATCTGTAATAGTGATACAGTTTAAAATGAAGGCTAAATTATTCAACACTTTACTCTTAAGCTCGTTTAAGTAACTGGCATTTTTTATATCCATCACTCCACCGAGTGGGAGTTGCTTTGCTGTGCTGGGGGGGACTTGTGAGTTCCAATGATCCGGTGAGCCGTACCCAGAGAGGAGCTTGGCCCCTCTTCCTTCCTCCTTGGAGGGAGGGGAAGGGTTTTCCAAACTAGGTGGGTCACGGAGGAGGATATAGACAAAATGGCTCCTATTCTGCTGCTGGTTTTGAGAGCAGGTCAACAGCATCATTCCCAGCCCAGACCACCAGGACTGAAATACTCTCCCACATGTTTGCCATGTATGGCGTCCCATAATGCTAGGAGACGGGAGTCCTGGAGGTTGCGTGATACCGTATGTTACACCCTGTGAATAGCAACACACCTCATTGGTCCTTTATTTCAGCTAGACGGGTGGCTTGGTTGGGCCCAATAAGTCAATCGGCTGGTTACAGTGTGGCTAAGGTCAAGCGGGCATCAGTGGTCCTGACACTTCTATGGTTCAGTCCCCCTGGGGTCACCAGGGTCATATCTCTGGCATTGACCCGTCCCTGGACCCTTCTTTGGATCTTTAACCCTTAAGCCCCGGGCTAGGATGCTGCTGGCAGTAACCCCCCCTCACCCCTGTGGAGTTAAATCGTGAAAAAAATCAACTTAAAAAAAATAGATAAAAAAAATGGTGGAAAAATAGGCGGACGTTCTGGAACGCCACCCGGGGCCTAAGGGTTAATTACTACATTGCAGCTCTATCAGACAAAAAAAGTGGCTCTGGGCCCTGACAAATGCCCAGGTATAAGAGCCGCAGGAGGCCCATTGACCATGATACTCTCCATAATGATTCTACAGTATCTGTGAAATCTTACCAGGTGTGCTCAAAAAGGTAGATTTTGCAAAATATATTGTGCTCCATGCTATGGAAGGCCAGTCTGTAATGGACCTGGACATTTTTAATGTTCACAGTTCAATAGTAACCTAACCTAACCTAGCTCGACTCAACTCCGTACCCTGTCTGAGGTACCTGGTGCCTCAGTCTCCTGTACTTCTCATGCCACCTTTAACCAGTGTCAAGGGGTGGTATTATCTGAAGAAAGAGCTACTCCGGTACTCAGAGGAGAAGCTTCTAGAGGAGCTCCAAGTCCAAAAGGTGGTGAAAGTGAATAGGTTCCGCAAGAAAGAAAATGGTGTTCTTAACCCTACACCATCTCTGTTATTGATTTTTGACTGCTTTGAACTTCCAACCTCTATCAAGGTTGCCTGGATCTCCCTTAAAGTGAAACCATACATCCCAAACCCTAGACGAGTCTTCCATTGTCAGATGCACGACCATGTCAGCTGCACTTGTCGTAAGTTACAGCAGGGTATTCCTGCAGTATGTGTTAACTGTGGTAAGGCCCATGAGGGTCAGAAATGTCTGGGTCCAGTCTGCTGTTTTCACTGTAGTGTGGTGCACCCAGCCTCTTCTAGTGAATGTGACCAGTTCCGACTCAAGAGAGAGAGATACTCCATATCCACACGAGAGACAAAGTGCACTTTGCTGAAGCCAGAAGCACAGCACGGAAATCAGTCCCAAATCATGGGGATTTGTATGCACAGGTTCTGTCCCAACACAAGGCTCAGCAATTTTTTTTTTGTGACATTGTCCATATGGATGAGGCAAGTACATCTGCTACTCCTCACCTTTCCTCCACCTGCCATCCTGGTACTCAAAAAATTTCAGCGAAACGCTATCAAGGGTCTGCAAAGTCTCTGGATATGGACAAATCTCCGGTCAAGGTCTCGATGATGGAATCGTCTGACTGTTGCGAAGGAAGTGAGACCCCTTTGCCAACTTCAGAACCCAATTCTAAGTCCCAGACACTTCAACAGATGTCAGCTCAGGCTGGCGCCTCCTCTCCAGAGATGCCGACTGATCTTCTGATCTTCTTCCGGATGCCTCCGGTGACGAGATCCCAACTAAAATTAGACTGGCAGCTGGGGCCCCTAGCACAGGGGTCACCTCAACTGATCTTCCATCTGGGGAGCCATCTCCAGGGGTTAACTCTGGTGTGGGAACATTGGATGGGTCTATGTCTAGGTCATCTGTGGCCACAGTCACAGACATATCTTTCAACCCTGGGGCAGGACAGATTGGCCCAGCCCTACTCAAGATGCCCCCCCAGTGCCGGATTTAGACCTGTGGAGGCCCATGGGCAGCCTCTTTGTGGAGGCTCCCCTCATTATAACTACCCAAGAGGGTGGGGTGGTGAGTGAAGCGAGCCTAAACATCTGGGAGTTCCAGGGGGCGCTGTAAGCCCCCCGGGAAAATTTTGAAATTTGAACACTTCTTTGGAGAATTTTGAAGCCATATGCAGTTATATTGAGGAAATTAGAACATTCCACAATATATGTTTGTGGAATTCTAAATATATTATTCGCAACACAAACAATAGCATTCATAAAAAATATACGGTTCATAGGAAAACCAGGTATTCATGAATTTCAAGGAGTCGCTAGCCTAATTTCTGTCACGCTTTTTGCTGAACATAGTTTTATGTGATGGAATAGATAAACATGAATTTTAAAGAATGAAAATAAAAATAATCCAAATGAATAAACAAATATATAAAATATTGTAATATGTGGAGGCCCCTGGGCAGCTGCCCACTTTGCCCACTCCTGAATCCGGCCCTGTGCTCCCCCCCCTCCCCTCAGCAGGTGGATTGGAGGAGCTGCACAGAGTGGTACACTCCCGGTTCATCCTCCAGGCTCCAACAACCAAACTAAGCCTGTGCCTAACTGCCTCTTGGGGGCCACACACTTGTGTACCCCTACTTAGATTCCCAATAATCATGGCTACCATCATCCAATGGAATTGTCAAGGCTTACAAGCCACCTCAGAGGAGTTCCAGTTGCTCCATAGCAAATTCTCCCCTATATGCATTTGTCTCCAGGAGATAATGTTAAGTGCCTATGATCATCCCCCTCCCAAAGGTTATTTGGCTTTTTACTCTCTTCAAAATTCAGCCCAGACACATCATGGGGGCACAGCCATCCTTGTCTTGGACAAGTGTGGTGTACCCATTATCCATCCCTTCCCCATTTCAAGTGACAACTTGCAAGATTCATATCCAACATACTTTTACCCTATGCTCCATTTACCTCCCTCCCAGTACACCAATTGCCAGGGAGGATTTGATTTCATTAATTCTTCAACTTCCTTCTCCTTATCTTATCCTGGGTAATTTTAATGGAAGGCCAACCCTCTAGGCCCTAGAGGGTGGCTTGATAATTTTGATCATTGAAGAGATGGATCTGGGCATATTAAATACTGGTGATATCACCCATTATCATGTCCAGACCAACACGACTACAGCCATAGATCTATCATTGTGCTCAGCAGACTCTACATTCTTTCCTGGAAGTTCTCCCGGCCACGAGTTCCCCGTTCGAGGTTAGACAAATCGGACTGGGACTTGTTCAAGGAACTAGTGAAGGTAGAAAGGTGCATTGAAGAATTTCCTTCTGCAGATGAAATGGTTGAATACTTAGCCACCCTCCTCTTATGCGTTGGTCACTGTTTCATTTCTCGAACCTCTGGTCGTGTAGATCGCTGACATGTTCCTTGGTGGTCACTACCGGTGCCATAGGACAGAAATTTATCATGTGGAATACAAACATGCTAGATGCCAAGCTCATCAAGCATTAACCCCTACGCCCCGGTTGACATTCCGGAACGTTCATCTAGGGCGCCCCGGTTGACATTCTGGAACGTTCATCTAGGGCGCCCCGTTTAACATTCTGGAACGTTCATCTAGGGCGCCCCGGTTGACGTTCCGGAACGTTCATCTAGGGCGCCCCGGTTGACATTCTGGAACGTTCATCTGGGGTGCCCCGGTTGACATTCCGGAACGTTCATCTAGGGCGCCCCGGTTGACATTCCGGAACGTTCATCTAGGGCGCCCCGGTTGACATTCTGGAACGTTCATCTAGGGCGCCCCGGTTGACATTCCGGAACGTTCATCTAGGGCGCCCCAGTTGACATTCTGGAACGTTCATCTAGGGCGCCCCGTTTAACATTCTGGAGCGTTCATCTAGGGCGCCCCGGTTGACATTCTGGAACGTTCATCTAGGGCGCCCCGGTTGACGTTCCAGAAAGCACGCATTTTCGTGCCATTGTTTGAATGCCCAGTGCGGGTTATTAGGTTCCAGCATGACTATTTGGTAGTCACACCACACACAGGGTAGCGTGGGTGGGCTCAGTGCAGTTAGTACGCATTAGTCTGTCACCACGGAGAGTCGTCCCTCAACCTGGCGACCGACTGCATGTGTCGCCAAGCACTTTTTATGAAAAATATTGCAAATAAAATAAATTCTAAATGAATTATTTATAGGCAATAATTATTATGATCAGTAAATATATGCATGACTGGCCATCCCGGACACAAAGGCAAGCAGAAAATGGCCGCTAAGTGCGTAGTGACCATGAGCGCTCCATCAAAACAACACTGTCCCTTTATCTCCCTCGCCACTGTGGCCCCAGGGAAGTCTCCAGAGGGTCAATATATAGTTTTTCTTACTTTTTTTTATTGTTTTATCATTTAAAAAGGTTAAAAATTAATTTTGGAAAAGTTTTTTTCTTGATTTACCCCGCATGGGGGTATGGCCAGCGGCACCCTAGCCCGGGGCGTAGGGGTTACATGTACATCACCAATCTTTTTCCTCATGTGTCTCCTCTCTAGAGGAAAAAAC